TGGGGGGAGGGGTGGGAATGGGGACACTCAGACCAGGGATGGGGGGAGGGGGGGGGAGGGGGACCCCAGGCAAGGGAGGGGGGGGGGAGCGGGGCCCCTCAGCTCGGGGATGGGGGAAATGGGGACACTCAGCAGAAGGGGGAGCGACAGCACACAGAATGGGAGGTAGGGGGCTCCAGGGAGCAGGGCCCCTTTCTATTGAAGCTGCTTCCATGGTTCCCCCCCATGATGTAGTACTTTATGTATTGTATGACCTTTAAACCAGATTTTGTACTTTTGGATAATCTAAGCACTACACCCAGATGTACAGACACTCTTAACCCGTGTATTATATAATTTTAACATTAGCTTTAATAACATTTTTAAATCTGAGCCACTCTCACTCTTTGGTGTCTGTAGCGACAGTGCGGTCCTATGACCCAGGGCAGGCCCATTACAGGAATGAGAACATGGAGATCCCACACTCATGGGAGTTTTTAGAAAGATAAGTGTTGAGTTCTTTATGTTTGCCCTTTAGGTTCTGAGCTTTTCGGGTAAGTGGTGAGCCAGGATTTTTTTTTCTTTAGTAATGAGGACTAAGCCTTTTTTGAAAAAGGCCAAGATTCTCATGTAATCGTAGATAGATTACATGACCTAGATCAGTGGTTTTCAAACTGCAGGTCGCGACCCAGTACTGGGTTGCAGAATGTAAGGAACATGTAAGGGTCATGGCGCCTGTGGTCAGCACTGCTGACCAGGCTGTTAAAAGTCCCATTGGCAGTGCTGTCCGGCTAAGGCAGGCTAGTCCCTACCTGTTCTGACACCATGCTGAGCCCTGGAAGCAGCCAGCAGCAGGTCCGGCTCCTAGGCGGGGCAGCCACAGGGCTCCATGCGCTACCCCCACCCCGAGCATGAGCTCCACACTCCCATTGGCCGGAAACCAGCCAATGGAAGCTGGGGGTGGGGGTGTGCCTGCGGGCGAGAGCCACGCGGAGCTGCTTGCGTGCCTCCGCCTAGGAGCCAGACCTGCTGCTGGCTGCTTCTGGGGCGTAGCGCAGTCCACAGTGCCAGGACAGGCAGGAAACCTGCCTTAGCACCACTGCTGACTGGGAGCCACCTGAGGTAAGCCCGTGCCCCAATCCCTTACCCCAGCTCTGAGCCCCCCTGAAACCCAGAGCCAGGGCCGGCTCCAGGCACCAGCACAACAAGCAGGTGCTTGGGGCGGCCAACGGAGAGGGGCGGCACATCCGGCTCTTCGGCGGCAATTCAGCGGCGGGTCCCTCAGTCCCTCTCGGAGGGAAGGACCTGCCGCCGAAGAATGAAGTGGCGGCGGTAGAGCTGCTGCCGAAGTGCCGCCAATCGTGGCTTCCCCCCCACCCCCGCTGCTTGGGGCGGCAAAAACGCTGGAGCCGGCCATGCCCAGAGCCCCTTCCTGCACCCCAAACCCCTCATCCCTGGCCCTGCCCCACAGCCCTTACCCTTGCACCTCAATCCCCAGCCCTGAGCCCCTCCCACACCCCAAACGCCTCATCCTGAGCTCCTTTTGGGTCACAGGCATCAACAATTTTCTTCAACTGGGTCGCCAGAAAAAAAGTTTTAAAACCACTGACCTAGATAATCACAAGCTTTGGCAATACTGTATCATTCCCATTTTATAGATGGCCCAGAGACAGAGGGCTTGCTACATGGCGAGTTAGGGCATAGCATCCAGGGTTTCACCTATTCTGCACAGGGTGCTGGCATGCACACTGGCTTGCTGCATGGACCATACTACAATGCACTAAAAGTTACTGAGAGCAGGAGTATGGCAAAGTGCACAACAGAACTCTTCGCTCCGGCGGCTGTTACTGCACAGCAGGCTAGAGCGCATAGCTTCACACCCTGGCAGGGCCGGTCTTTGGGATGGGCTGTAGGGGCCCCGCCCAGGTCGGCCCGCCCAAGGGGGCGCCATGCGCAGGGTTTGGATTCCAACCTGACCTGCTGCCAAGAGCCAGCTGGGCTGACGGAGGCGGCATGGCAGGCAGGGGAGCAGCAGCGTGGGGAGGGGGAGAGACCCGAGCTGCAGGGGGCAGTGGGACGACCAGCCATCGAGCCTCTGCCCTGTTCCACATGTGCAGCCGCTGCTGTTCCTGTCGACCCCTGCCCTCGTTCGTCCCTGGAGTCACTCCTGGCCCTGAGTGTCCTCCTGTCTGCTCTGCGGGGGGAGTGGGGCAGGGGGCTGATGGCGGGGTGTCCCCCTCCCCCCCCCCCCCGTGTACCCGATTTCCACTAAGCTGGGGTGATGGTACAGTGGGAATGTGTGTGTGCTGCTGCCTCTCTGGGTCTGGAGCTGCTGGCAGCTGCTTGTGTCTCAACAAGCCTAGTTCAGGCTCCTGACCCTGAGTGCTTTCTTAAAGAGACAGCGCACTCACTCACTCAGGCACATACACACTCCCCTCAACACAACACAACACACACTTCTTCACACAGTCCCCCCAACACACACACACACCAGGGCTCCCTGCATTCAGGTCACTTCCCTACCTGGGCTGTGCTGAGGAATCAGGAGCTGCTGCTGGCCTGTCCTCCCCTTACACAGCCCGGGGAAAGTGACCTGGATGCAGGAAGCCCTGACATCACTCCTTGCTCCCCCCCTCACCCCTCTCCCCTGGGCTGTGCCAGGCAGAGGAGCAGCATTTCAGTGGGGGAGCGAGCAGCAATGCCAGCTGCTTTCTGCATCCAGGTCAGTTTCCCCACATGGGGGGATGCAAAGGTTAGGAGCAAAGGGGTTAGGGGCGCAGGAGGGAGGTACAAGGGCTAGGAGTGCAGGGGGCGCAGCGCACGGGTTAGGGGCACAGGAGGGGGCAGGTGTTGCAGTGAAGGGGGCATGCATAGTGCAGGGATTAGGGGCGCAGGAGTGGAGTGCAGGAGTTGAGGTGAAGGAGGCACACATAGTGCAGGGGCTAGGGGCACAGGAGGGGTTGGGGGAAGGGGGTACAGGAGGGGGCAGGGGTTGGGGGCAGGAGGAGGGCAGGGGTTGGGGTGAGGAGGCACGATGTAGGTGTTAGCATCTCAGGAGGGAGGTGCAGGGGGTAGGAGTGATGGGGTGCAGGGATTGGGCACAGGAGAGGAGTGCAGGGGGTGGGGTGAAGGGGGCACAGTGCAGGGGTTAGGGGCTCAGGAGGGAGGTACAAGGGGTAGGAGTGCAGGGGTTGGGGCACAGGAGGGGCAGGTGTTGGGGTGAAGGGGCATGCATAGTGCAGGGGTTAGGGGCGCAAGAGGGGAGTGAAGGGTTTGAGGTGAAGAGGGCACATACAGTGTAGGGGTTTGGGGCACAGGAGGGGAGTGCAGGGGTTGAGGTGAAGGGGGCACAGTGCAGGGGTTAGGAGCTCAGGCAGGAGGGAGGTGCAGTAGGAGTGAAGGGGTGCAGGGATTGGGGCACAGGAGGGGAGTGCAGGGGGTGGGGTGAAGGGGGCACAGTGCCAGGGTTAGGGGCACAGGAGGGGCAGAGGGGAGTGAAGTGGGTGTAGGGATTAGGGGCACAGGATGGGGAGCAGGCATTAGGGGTGAAGGGAACACAGTGCAGTGGTTAGTGGGGGAAGGGAGGGTGGGGAGCCCATGGGGGCAATGGAGGAGTGCCACGCCCTTGGGGGCTAAGAACACCAAAATCCACATTCGCCCAGGGTGCCATTTCCCCTAAGGCCGGCCCTGCACCCTGGATTGCGACGCACTAACTTGAGGTGTAGACGAGCCTTGAGCAAGGTTCCCAACATCACACAGGAACTATGTAGCAGAGCAGAGAATTAAATCCAGGTCTCCCTGCTTCCACACAAATCTGACTCTATTTCTTTTGCTTCTGCAGATGTGCCCCTGAGGGCAAGCTCCTACACACCGGTGGAGCGCCTCCGTCAAATGAGGCGAGCTCCTACACACCGGCGGAGCACCTCCGTCAAATGAGGCGAGCTCCTACACACCGGCAGAGCACCTCCGTCAGATGAGGTGAACAAGGAGGAGTTAGGGAGGACATGTTTCATGAATTGCTGCAATCATCAGATCAGGCAGATAGCGAGCACAGACATGGAGAGAGACAATAAATGAGCAACTAGAAATGGATAGCCAGGAGAGGAGACAGGGGCAGGAGTGGACAATAAAGCTCATGGAAGAACAGAGATGCTGAGGTCTCTGATTATGCTGCAGCTGCAGCACATGCGCTCAACTGTAGATCTGCCTTCCTTGCCCTTCCCAAACTCCCCACACACATTCCTGGCCCATCACAGTATCCCTTGCACTCCACCCCTAGGGACATTTTCCATAATGACAGCTAGACTTACAGGCAGCTCTTAGATCCTTCAGAGAGTGCTACTCATTGTCATGTCCCTTGTAAGAAATGCTAATTGTGTATTGCTGTTTAATAATAATGTAGTCTTACACAGACAGTGATGCTTTATTTGTGCCTTACACCGGGTAGTTGTAACAGAAATTCATACATATGCAGACCACAGTTAGCGCTCAGGCAGGAATCATTACCGGGGTTATTCAAGGTGGCAAGTAAACAATGCCTGGCTCAATTCATTACAAAAAGACACATTACTGGGGCTCATTGTCAAAACGCTGCTTCAAAATGAATGGCCCCCTGTTGAGCCCCTATAATAGCCCTGGAGTCTGGCTGCTCAAAATCAGATGCCAGGTTATCCACCTCTATGCTCCACCCCTGGAGAAACTTTTCCCCCTTGGCTTCACAAATGTTATACAGAGCACAGCAGGCTGCTGTGACCATGGGAATATTTTCCTTATTGAGGTCTAAACTGTCAAA